ACTCACAAAGCTTCATAGAATCCCAAGGCAGAATTACTGTGTTGTTTGCACCTGTCTCAATCCTAAAATGCCTCTGATTTGCTTTTTGTTTTGAATGACAATTCAACAATTATATTTGACACACTGGTTCCTAAGAAAAGGGACTTCAATCAAGTAAAAAAGGAACATCACCCCTTCCAAACAACAGAAACAGAACGTCCACAAGACTAAATGCTTGGCATTTAGTATTTACATTCACTTACATCAGCCATATTGCTGCCCTCGGCCTAGCTGGCCCTGTTATTTTGCTAGGCAGATGCAAACCGTCGCCAAAATGAATGATCAGCCGGATTCAGGCAGAAGACAGGAAGTCCATAAAAGATGAGTCAAGAACATGGGCAGAGAGTGTCAGCCTGTCAATGCGAGCAGTGTGAGCAGGGGTATTTAGTCATCCCTAAACCACTCTCTCAAAGACAGCCAAACGGATGGCTGAATCAGGCTTAGAGACTTATCTTCTGACTGGTGTTAGGTTGCTGCTGATGCAGCCCAATGAGCCTGAATTTTTAAACTGGGATGTCCATTCCTCTGAAGTTGTGTTGTAACATGTATTAAAAAAATCCAGAATCAACTCTTATCCACTGTTCCAGGAATGCCTGTTATTTCACAAAAGCAAATTGATCACCATGTGCTTAGTGCGTGATTTATACAGCATTCTGTATTAACTATATCTGGGTAAACTAACTGCTAGGTAAGTACTGTATTATTTCTTGGGTTTGCCTATAAAAAAAATCAGATTATTTCACTTTGACAATAGCTGTCAATGGTGTGGACCATTAAGCAAAGCTTCTTGAAAACTTTCGCACCATTCAGTGTTCCAGCCCAGCTTTGTGATGCAGTTTCAGTATCGATAAAAAGAAATATTACCACTTGGAAACAATACTTGGACTCGTTTGGCGGTAATTTGAGGTGATGTCAAAGGCAGCTCACTGGATAGGTCCACATCTGTAATTAGCTTAGAAAACAGCCCCACCCAGACCAAGCACAGAGACGAACAATAGTCAGCAAACAGCATCTATCTTTTGTCAAACTGACCAAATTTTTAAATAAATTGTTTAACACATCTACAATCTTCTCTTACAAAAATTCACTCTACACAAAGAGAAGACCCTTCTTTTTTCCCCAAAGTATATCTTTCACCCACAGGCAAGTAGAACAAATTCGGGGAAAAAACGTAAACAAAAACCAAGTAGAAACTGCAGCTTGCATATATCACACAACGTACCCTCAGAGTCGCATTAAATATATTAGGACTTTATAAGCTCATCAGTCAACAGGCATGGACACTGTTTAAGCACATCAGCATCTCTGGATCAAACCACCAATACAGCACAGCAGACATTAACCACACAATGAGGGATCCTGAAAGCAACATATCCTTGCAAATATCCTGGTCACGTTGCATTTAGCTGCTTATCTGAAGCTGTTGTTCAGAGTGAGTCACAGTCTTTCGCACTTGTAAGGTTGATTATAGTGCCGTAGAAATTCAGGTTAAGTAACTTGTGCCACAGCTCCCTCTCTCCCCCGCAGGACTTAAAAATGTATGTCATCGGCCATCCTCTTTCGCCTGTGCTAAGTGCTTTGCTGACTGTTAACTTTATCAGCCTTTTAATAGCACGAGGACTTCTTTTGTAGAGTGACGATCTCTCCAGCCATGATCACATCTAAACGTCAATTTCGTCTACGCTGCCCCCCCCCCCCCAACACTCTATAGTAAAAGGAGCACGCCTCGCGCCGCGATCCGGGCGTGTTACCTAAGAGCCCGCATACACACACAAACAGGTCCACGTGCACATGCATAAACGCATGAACGCGCATGCATACTGTATATTAGCATATAAATACAGACAAGGGATATAACGGAGTGTATAAATAAAGTTCTAAAAATGCCATAAGCAGAGTAATTAGTTTTATTCAATATGATTCAATCCCTGCTATGCTGCAGGGGTGTAGATAGATTTTTTTAACTGCATGATAAGAGGATTTCAGAGACCAAAGCGTTTGCTTTCATAGTATTTAGTTATAGCCCGCAGACCGTCCTCGTTTTCATTCTGCCTCTCTGCCACTCCCCCAATAAACGCTGGAACATTAAACAATAAAATTTGGAGAGGACTTTGAAATAAAGCTTCCTTATGAAGCACTTGCAGCATTGTTAGGCTGGGGTGATAGGCAAACTTACAAAATGACTCCGCATACTTGCCAATTGTGGTCGTTTTTAAGTAATCTAAATATCACATTTTAAACGTTTATATGATTAATAATGTAGCATTTATGATGATTTTTTTTCATACGAATAATGAAAGCCATGCGATGTAACTGTGTGTATTATGAGTATATGGAGTTAACGTGGTTTTGACTTTGAGTATCTTCTGCTGCAGACGTCGAATGAATAACTTAACTTAGGGGATCCATTTCCTAAAGCGGCGGCGCGGACCATCCGAAGTGCGATTGAAATACCAGTCGCTGGCCGCAGTCTGTTCAAATGGAATTAAGTATTTCCCTTTCTTGTTTCATTGCTTTACAATCTCTATGTCTTTCCATCTATATGAGGTCAATTATATATGGCAAAATAACCGAACCATACGCTATGCGAATAACATCAAGCACCAAAAAAAGACACTTCGTACGCAAACGGGCATCGATGTTAAATAAGTGACGTAACACCTAAAGGAGTTTACTGGGGTGCTTTGTATGACTCATTACTGAAAAGACTTATGTTGAAACCACCTTGGCGGATTTTTAATCATCGTCCCCTGGTGCTGTGGCTTTCCCGCACGCCAGGACCCGGCGCTCCCCCCCCGCGCCTGCCCTCCTCCCGCTCGGCTCCCTTTCTCTCTCACTTTAAACATTCAGCACCGCGGCACTTGGACAGCGCCGGACTTCCCGTCTCACTATGACCACAACGTGATTTGGAAGGGAGCATCCCTCAAGAACATAATATGCATCATTTGCGATGTCTTTTTTCACATCATTTACAGAAATAAATACATCATTTATTAATAGAAAATAATTCCTTACCCAGAATACACGATTCAGTTACAATAACGCCCAGTCCAGAATGGGGTTCCTCGAGATATTAAGCATCGTATAAATACATATAGCATTCATGTTTCCCGTGCAAATCAAAAATTATAAACGGGGAATGTTTGCTGAATAAAAAAACGCTAAAATGTGAGATTTTAGGTTTTTTAGGCATATTTATAGGCAGGTTATATCAAGTGTGCAACTTCACGTCACCTGTCACTCACGAGCACGTCCGGCAGGCACAAAGGGATTCTGTGATGTTTCATGTATATCTTTCTTTAGCGGTCAGTTCTAGGACGCCGTGATGCAAAATAACAAGAACCACCAAAATAACTATTAAGTAAACGGTTTATATCATTACCGCATACGGTATCATTATTTGAAATATGTACTGTGCTATTTAAAAATAGTTCTTGTCTAGCAGGACAATGTTGGCATAAAGTTCATTGAGCGCGATTAAACTCAAGTTAATTAGGCTATGGACCGAAACAGGAAAAAGACAAAGGAACACATACACACATGCTGGCGCCACCACACTCACGCAAACAATGACCAGACTAAATTATAAAGGACACGTAATGAATACAATCAACGGCTGTTCGAATAAACCCAAAGGGCAAAACGACATTCACCGACCGAGAGAAAGAACTGAGCCCTGTGGTGGGTCGATCGCTGAAGAAAACATTCAGGGAGTGGTGTTTTCATTAATATGTTCACGAAAAAAGTAATAACGCCGGATCCTGTTTCTTTCTTATTTGCAAGGTCCAATGAGACTTACTGCATATTGAACAGAGCAACAGCGCGGCTAAATCCGCGCAGTTATTCACGGCCGACTGGGTAGCAGGAGGAGACGCGGGAATTCAACCTCTTTTCACGGTTAAAGTTTTGCTGGGGGACGGAGATTGCAAGAACCAGCTGCATTCGTCATCAGCTTTAATGCTTTACAGCCGAGGCGATTAATCAAATCCGGATCGGTGTATAAACAACGTTGATGTGTTTTTACCACCACTCCCTATAACAGTCATAGCAATAAACATACAAACATGCAAACATGGAAGGGACCTAATTTTATCTTGAATTAGTTCCTAAAAAGTTTCCAGTACCTTCGGGAGAAGTATGAAATTTGATTTTCTCTCTCTCTTTCTCTCTCTCTCTCTCTCTCTCTCTCTCTCTCTCTCTCTCACACACACACACACACACACCTCTTGTGAAATGTACTTGACTATAAATAAATAACGTGCTGGTGGCGATAAGTGTAATACGCCTGCGGCAAGTAAATAACCCGCTTTCTTGCAAAATCTTCATGCACCGCTGATTGCACTAACACATTAATAAGCGACAATATTGAAATATTTGCGATAGGCAAACCTGAGGCGGAAATCTGTTTCTGTGTAAGCGGGAAGAGAAGCTGAAAGCCGGACGATCCAATTACACAAAAAGGTGTCCAGCAAGATGCAAGTAAAAGCAATTGCATTAGCGAGCACGTTGAACTCCAGAGTTACTTTCTGAGACTAAAATTGGATTTCTCCTCAGCAGAAGAGTGTCTTTCCTCAACGTCTGAATGCGATTTTGCATGAGAACTTGCAGATTTGTGATCGGGGAAAGTTTGGCCGTGAGACATTTGATTACACGCCCTTGTATCGTCAATTCCACCTGATAACTGCACATCGTTCAAGAACGGAAATAAAATTAAAAAAGACACTCAAAAATCTGTTTCCACTTGTGCGAAACGGCCGTCATGATATTTATCAAACTGTAAACATCACTGGATGTAAACATTTCTGGATGTAAGCGGAATCCAGATACTTTTACATGGATGAGAAACTTCCGTTATTTCCCTAAGTTAACCGAAGTTAATAAGATACCAAGCGGCAGAGCTGAAGAATGCACGGTAATGACCTGATGGAGGCTGTTGGTTCGGTGCGGGTTTGACTTCTTACCTTTCGCAGAATCCACTGGCCGAGGATCGCGAAGGTCCAGTAGAGCACCTTCATCGCACCTCCCGAACAGCAAACCTCCCTGAGGCTATTAATCTCCCTGGGTTAACATATACAGACAGAAGGAAAGTCAGGGATCACAAACAATCCAAGAGTCAGGATTAAAAAAAAATAAGTGGGAAATGTATTTTAGAGTCTATTTACGGATGTCTCGGTTTAGGGAATAAATAGTCTGATCAGCTTCTAAAGTCCGTCATTGGGAAATAAAACAGATCCATGGGTATTTTTCTCTGCAGCGTTTGGAGTCATGAAGTTCAGGGATGGAGAGAAGTCGGGGAAACGCTGGTGAGATCTAACAGAGGATCAAGAGCAGCTCTAATGTCCCCCACCAGTCCGTCGGCTACTCCTGGTTTAAAAGCAAGTGCCTTTTCACCTTCGTTGTTTTACTGTTCCCTCTCCCCCCTCCCTATCTTTCTCTCTCTCTCCCTCGCGCTCTCCCTCTCTCTTTCGCTCTCTCACACTTTTCGTTCGTTTCTCCATGTTGAGCGTATGAATTTGGACAAAAAACTAGAAGTGCGCATTTCTTAGACATTCATATTAGTAAACGGTGTGCTATGGGTTGGTATTTTGATGCATTTAATTTACTTCTAAAAATGAAGCACCACTCACAGCGTGGAGGTTAAATTTACTTGCCAGACGTACTTTTTTTCTGGGGATATTTTCTGTTTCATTCCGCACCAAAAAGGAAATTTCGACGTCTGCTTTCTTTGTTTGTTTTTTTTTTTTTTGCACATTTTTATCTAATTATTCTCGCGTGGGAAGACGTCGCCAACAAAAACTATAAAAACAGCAAAAAAGAGCCCTAGATACAGAACTATCCGAGAGCAAGCGATTTGAGCAAATTATTACTTTCGGCGAGATTTGTTCATGCGAATCCTGACATCGCTATACATTCATACAAATTTTCCCGGATTTGAGCTGTCATACTCGCTGTACCTCGTTGTTAATAGGATCGAGGGGACGAAATTTAGCTATTACCATAATGCAAATACTACAAAAACTCTATTTTGTAGTTCCTAGCAGTTTGATGAAAGTTGTTTTGATGAAAATTTCATAGACAGAAATTTTAGGGTGTCTTTTGAAACCAGGAGTGTATTCAAGCGTTTTATAACTTGAAAAAGGGCAACGATAGGCACCTTTCAGTGTCATTAATTAACACATGAGATATTTGTGAAATATACAACACATTACCTGTCTACAAAATGACATATTCTAGATTCTGGATCTCTTATAACCCAATTTTTCATTATTTTGAGCTTTATGCTTTTTTTTCTTCTTCTTTTGGTTTCTGAAAACCATTCCGAAGCTAAGCTGCCGAATTGCTTGTCTGTGTTTGTTAATTTACACCTGGACTGAAGCTGAAGCAGGAGACGAATGCGGCCCAACAGAGAGTGCGACACGGCGGGTCCGGGGTAAAAGAGCCCGACTCTAATCCGACTGGAAATATTACAAAACCAATCAGCAATGATGACGATATTATCCCCGCCAACTATAGCGTGGAGCTGTCCTGTGGTCAGTCATTTGTATAATTTATTTGCAGAATAATGCATAGAAATTGGCTTCGAACTGCCTCGCCAGACGTGAGACCACAGTACGTTTTGACATCGGCCATGCCTGTACAGTGTTGCCCCCCCGCCCCCAGCCTCATTACTGGCAGCTAGCAGTTGCCTGTTGATTAGTTGATTATAATACTCTCTAAATGCCGCTTTTTAATGCACTACTGAGGAAAATCGCTTGACATTATGGGTGGGTATCACACGGAGAGTCTTATTCTGGGGTGTTTATCACTGTGTACAGCATGGCTGCAGCCCTGGCAGGGATTCAAGGCACCTCCACCATGCATCCAGCTACACCTACAGCTGTGAGCTGCACCCCCGTTTGTCCCCCTGCTCCCTGAAGTATTGCTATTTCTGGGCACTTTTTGCCATTATCATCACAAGCTGTAACCTTAAATTTCCCAATAATTAATATTTGACCTTTAATCGCTGCTTTTAAATTATAGTTATTAAACTAAACAGAATGGGAGGGGGGGGGGGGGAAGAACAGCATGTCTAGTGGACAGATTTGTTAATACCATCCTGTCTGCCGTTCTGTTCTGTTTGGGCGCCGCTCATGTATGTGCAATGATAATGCATTTGGTTGATGAATGACATTATGGCCTGTGGCCTTCAGTCAGGTGCATCTCATCCACATGTAGGGGCCCCGCAAAGTGGCGTCTGTCAGAGAGCCGAGGCTCTCGCTGGTCCGTCACCGAGGGCAACGCAACAAAGGTAACACAAGGCGGGAGGGCTGGCCACGGCGACCGTGTGGCCTGACAGCGATGACAGTAATCACATGTTCGCCAGTCGGCTCGCTATCAGAGGGCACGCGCCGATCCTTCCTGTTTGCTCTGGATCGGACCTGGGACTTGGTAACCCTGCACAGATGCCGATGCCAAAACCAAAAGACCCCACTGCATTATGGGATATAATTCACCTCCGCACATTTTTAAAACATCTCGGGACAAGCACTTTACTAATCACAAGTATTCAAATATATCTCCCTGCAGTTACATATTACAATTCATATTTCATGAACAAATTGGTATATTCATAGCAGGTTTCAGAACAGCATTTTTAAATTTTAATAAAAAACCTACATATAAAATAATGCATGAAGTAAACTCATAAACTGAAACCTTAAACATGGTAAAATTGATGTATATATGATTTTATAGTATGCAAATAGTGGAGGCGGCCATTAATATTAAGTTGTACTTGAACAGGAATTGAAGTGCAGACATATTTTACCTCTGAGATTCACGTAAAAGGCCTTTCTAACTGGCTACTGAAGGTTTTTTTTTTGCACCCTGTTCACACTGTTTCAGCAAAAATCTCAGCAGAAAAACTACCAGCTGCGCTTTTGGGGATAAAGGGTGATGCTCATAGCTTCTGCTCCCTGGTGCTGCTCCTTTGTCAGAGCTGAAAGCAGCCTCTTTTCTAGCAAGGTATCATGGCTCCACAACAGTACAAACAGAGAGGCAGGAATTTCACTCAGACGACGTCAACAGACCCGTCACCGAGCAGGAAGGACCACCACCGTCGCCGGGAGAGAGAGGGCCGCCGCCCGTGGCGTCCGTGATGTCAGGAAGCAGCCGCGAAAAACACGAGCACCTTCACAATACCGCGACCCGCCAAGCGTTTAATAATAATCTAGATCAATGCTGCTTCCATTTCGCGCAAGGCCATCGAAATAAAACATTCTGCGTTATGCTTTCGACACGAAAAAGAGTCAGACAATGAGCTGATGCAAATGACAATATTCTCAACAGCCTGCAGCAAACATTTTACCATGTGCGACATGAAAAAAAAATCAGTCTGCCGTCCCATTCTCAATTTAGTCAGCGTTCACTGGGTGCCTTTCAGACGCCCTGTTAAAGAGATGCACCTTGGCACAAAAAAAAGGAAAAACATTTTTCAGATCAAGAATATTGCACTCTTTCAGTGTTCCATTCTTACGCCATGTTTCGACAAATGAGAAACCAACGTACAAACACAAAAAAATGTACGCTGTGTGTGATTCCAGACACTGTACGTCTGAAGATTTGGAAACCGATTCATAACATCACCGCGGGCCTCTGGCATTTGCATTTGGTCCTGCTCAGCATGTAGACGTGTCAGCTAAGGCATCACATAGCGCTCTGTCACAGATAAGTAGTGCAGAAGACAGTATCTTATCGGCAGAGGCTGACCAGCATGGCGGTTTTCATGGCCTCTAATAGAAATGGTACCTCTGTAAAATGATGACCTGTCGTTATCATTTCTCAATTAATCCCATCGCAACGTTGATTCCCTCAGACTTACCTGCTTCTAGTTGATAAGCGGCATCAGTGTTTATTATGACTCAGTTAATTAAAAATGTATAAACTTCTGTCTAATTGGTTAGGAGCAGGATTGTTTTTGAACATAAATGTGTGGGACAGGATATTCCTTACAGAGGAACCATAGCATGGATTTTCAATGAAAATACAGTCAATAGAGGTTATGCCACTAAGTACAAAGTAGCTTCACGATTTATTTTCATCGATGCCTCAGATTTACCACTATTTTGGGCTTTCCCCCAAGAAATACAATCATTTTGGTTACATATATTAAATTTAGTTTGATTTATCCATTGTTAGATTTCTTTCATTCAACACAACCTTTGCCAGAATTTTAAATACAGTCAGCTCTTGAATAAGTTACCAATCGTGCCAATTAACATACAGCAGTGTAACATACAGCAGAGAAATAGACAAAGTCATCCAAAATCGTAACCTTTTTTGATATTATAAATAACATAAAGAAGAAGGACATAAATATCGAGACAGGTATGTCTACCTTCTGCAATGGCACCATACAACTGAGATTTCATAAACTCACACCCACATCAGGTTACAGCACATAAATTTAAAACCTGATGGTATAAAATATCCATCATTTGTTTTTCAGTTATCTCTCAAAAAATGGGTCAGGGGAGGTGCTGCTAGAAGCATAGACATTTTAAGATGTTTTATTTGAATTTTTGGCTGTCCGGAGTAAACAGATGTCAAATTTTGATTCCGTGAGAATGGCCAACAGATCCCTGTGATCTGAGGGAAGATGGGATTGGTGTGATTTAGCAAACTGGGAGAACATGCAAGGCAGCTGTTTCAGCGCTAAAAGAGAAGGACATCCAGAGTAGCGGAAGCACGAGAGATGGATCGCAAGGGGTATCCAGGGGTGTCTCTCACCTTTGCTGTCTCTTTCTCACTCTCATGACACCACAACAAAAAACAGACTTTGTTTTATAATAGATTAGTAATGAATAACTGGTTGTGGCTGAATGAATGCCACGGCTTCCCTGCTCCTCACAGTGCCCTTCTGAAAATCACGATTAAGAAATGAAGCGACTGTCCTTTTTCTTCCCCACGTAGACATACTTAATAAGAAGCATGCGACTTTGGTAGTTTCCCATTTGGAATATCGGAATATTCTTTGGAACTGGTTTCTCCAAACTCTCCCAGACCTGTGCCACCTTTTTAGTTACTAAGTGTTGGTGTTTTTAGGGAGTTTTTTGGGCCAGCTGTGTCCGCCTCAGGTCCGTTACTCTCGGCAAACGAAGTCCCAGCCATGGCTAGTTGTGATTGGACCCCCCCACCCCCCTCCCCCCGGGGTGGCACAGAAGGTGAGTGACACAGGGCCATGGGTTGAGGGAGGTTTTGGTGCAGGGCTGAGTCATACCCACCCTGTGCCCCACTGGACCTGCAGTTACATTCCATAAGTGCTCTGAAATTACAGCACTTTAGCGCCCCCTTGAGGAAAGGAAGGCACATGCAATATGGCAAGAGAATAAATGATGGAGAGTGA